AACTTTTGGCTTCATTTTTTTATTGCAAGAAAAGGAGATACTTATGTGCAGTAAATTAAGGGGTTTTGCTTCTCTTTCTTGACCAAGTTAGTACTGAATAGCAAAAAATATATACATTGAATGATCTCCAGAGTACTTATAAATATCATCGACTCCACAATTTATTAAGACTTACTTTCTCCAGGCCGTAGTTCTGTACTGGCCTAAGTTCTGTAAAGTTCTCTTGGAAGGTGTCCGTGTTTGAACATAGTGTTTGGAACAGCAAAAACCGAGCTTAAAATGAGCTGACTTCAAATAAGTATTCTTTAGGCTAATTTTCAATAAAGTAGTAAAACCTGGCAATGGTGCATGGTCAACTTTGTCAGATTTAGGCCTCATTCCATAGCAGGATCACAGTGCTGCAACCAGGTGATGCTATGAAGTGGGACTTGGAGCCTAATGCGTCAGTAGCATCACATCGGCATTGATCAAATCTGAATTTCTAGAAATCTGTTCTTCCTAATAAAGGGCAAATAGAAGATTTTACCAGTTATATGCAGTGTAAGATTTTGCAGATGACAAAGGTAATTTATTTGTAAAAGTCCATGACAACATTAAAAAAAGCTCAAATTGTAATGCTTGCAATGTACATTGTGTTACTTCTTTCTAGGCACATCTTTGATATAATTGTGACTAAAACTAGCTACCTTTACCGTGTACTCTTCTAGCTGCAGACAGCAGTAACTGCATGGGTGGGAGAAAGATTAGCAACATTTCAGGGATAGCTGCAGAAGCAACCAGGAGCAAACTGCTGGTGATTGCACAGAGCATGCTGTGGTATATCTCTCCATAAGGTGTTGGTTATTGGAATCCAAACTGCTGAAAATTCTGAGTGTTGTGATAATAATTACAAGGAGTTGCATTTTTTGTACCCTTGAAACTGGAGGAATGTAGGAAGTGTAAGCCCCCAGAGGCATGTGGCGTTTCCTAAAATAGCTTTGCTGGTTGCTCCTCGCTTTGGAGTGTGTGTGCGCGTGTGTAGCAGTCTCAACATACTTGGAGTTTTCTTTACAAGATTCAAGGAGAAAGCGAAGTATAATTGTTTCCTTATGTTCCCAGAGGGGGGAAATAGTAGATTTCAAATATTTTTGTGTGTTTGTGGTTGTAGCTAATAAATCAGGCATTTTAATTGTTGTCTTTAATCTGTAGTAAGTGTTCGGAATAGTGTTTATTGAAGAGTGATTTCAGTATTTTGCTCTTAAAAGAGCTTGAAGTTTACAGCAGTGTACTCTTTATGAGGGAGGCACTTTAATATAAACCAGATGAAAGCATGATTATTTTAATAGCAATCTTTAAAGTTTCCATTAAGTTCTCATTGCTTTCTCTGACTGAATGCGGAAATTTATTGGAAAGCTCACCTGCTATCCCATCTTTTGACTTGCTCAGTAATTGTATTACCATGTTTATTTTTTGAGTAAACAGTGTTTGAAAATAACTTTTGTCATTCAGCTCCGGAGTCTTAGATGGCTTATGTAAACAGCTTGAGCATCATATAAATAATGCTTAAAGCCAACATTTAGTGTACATCTAAAACAATACAGAGTGCTTCCTTTTAAAGACTGGAGCTTAAGGCTGGTTTGTAACTTTGTTGGATTTGCCTCTGTTGAGGTGGGAAAGGAGCGTGCAAAATTCCATTGTGAATGGCTCTTGAAGGCACTGCTGCTGCTCCCACTGTGGAAACTGTTGCATCCACCTGAGCAGGATGTTCGGTAGGAATGTTCAACCAGACAGGATTTTTCTGAGCATTATATAAATGTGTATAGTTAAAATTAGACCCTGTGTCATTGTAAGTGTTGCAGATATTTTCTTCTCTGTTCGCTTCCTTGTAATCATAGAGCCGTGAGTGTATCACGTATATTACTGTGCAATTAGAACAGCCTCCAAAATTCTGACCCATCTTTAGACCCAGTGCTCTGTGTGGCTCCTGCAGAGAAATACATGCACATACAAACTGCTTGTGAGTTTAACCTGCATGACCTGCACCCCTGCAGTACTGTTGTGTTTTGGGGGACTTACCCACTTGCTTGGACTGTTGAAAGTAGTGCAGAAGGACACTGTGTCAACAACAGCAGAGTGAACATCTGTGCTCTTAACCTGCCTTTCTGCTCTTTTGCTATGCTGTTATTGGACACTGGAAACCAGCATCTGCTTGAATTTGGGTTGTCTCTTGCTACACAGGGAAAAGAGGGAATTCCCAAGCAGACTGTTGGACTGTGGAATGAGTTTGTTGTATTTGAATTTTGATACCTATATTCTAGGGCTTATGGACTAAGGAGGCTTTGTAAATAAACCTCACAAAAATGCCTGACTGTGGAGATAGGAGGCATCTGCTGGTGGAAATTATTAGAGTCTGTTTGTGTAAAAACTGTTTTATCAGAAAACTGGACCTCATAGGTGATTTGAGGAGGATTAAAGAAGAAAATGCAGTCTCCATCCTGCAGGAATTTTGCTTGTAATGTCAAGTGTACAGGTAGTTCTTTTGACTTGTAAAGTAAACTCACATGCCTGAGGTTGAGCATGTTGACTCGCAGAATGTGGTTTTGGCATTAAGAAACAGATGCTTTTAATATGATAAGGAGCGATATATGGAATAGGTTAAGTAGCATTTCTGTGCTGGTTGAGTCATATAAGCTTTATGCAATTTGTTTAATTACAGAAATAATAGGACTTAATGTTATTAAGTAGAATGTCTTTTTGCATCTGCTGTGAATTAAATCTAAGTGGAAAAATAATCCTCTTAATGGTTCTTGGTATTTTTAAGTTACTCACTGCACTTTTTTAAAATGTTTTAAAATGTTAGCACTCAAGAGTAGTCTGGAAGTCTGTTTCGGTGTCTGTAAGCACAGATAATGCAGTACTTAAAGCATGGATAAGTGAGCATCTGGTATTGTTTTGAAAGAAAAACCTTGTAAGTGTTCTAGTATGTTTTGTTTCCTTTGGACATAGGTATTGTAAACACAGGTACTGTAAACATAGGTGCTGTGATAGTTGTCAGGGATGGCAAACTTACCCTGTTACTTGAGGCCAGAATCTTTTTGCAGAGACAAGTAACAAAAGGATGACTCTTAACATCTCAACTACTCAACTTGCAGCAGCATGTTTTAAAGCTGCAAAGTGATTGATAACAGAGTGGTATGTTGGATTTTGTCAGGGCTTTTTTGCTTTTCTTTTTCTTTCTTTTTAAGAAAAATCACTTGACTGTGCCCCTATGCAGAGCTTGTTTTAAACAGAAAGGACCTAATGCGCTAAGCAGCCATCAGACTGTGTAGTTCCAGGTTCCAAGTATGTTCTTTTATCCACTTGTAAT